AAAAAAAAAAAAAAAAAAAAAAAAAAAAAGAAAGAAAGATTGATTGATTGCCAGGGCATTTTATTTTAAATCATTCATAGAGACTTAGCACCACTCTACTGTTTTCTTCTGCTATTGGAAAAGCACTATTGGAAGTTCAGCCTTTACTTGAATGTACACTGTAGATTTTTTAACAAAGTGTGATTTTAGGATTACCTCTTTCATAGGTTTTAAGTAAAGTAAAATTTATGTATGCTTTGCATATAACTATAATGATTATGTTAAGAAACTTTAACACTTAAACAATTCCCACAACCATAAATACAGTATTTCATGACAATAAAATGTTTTTATTAATATTCTGTTTATAGATATATTAGGACCATTACTATGTTATATTTAAGTTTTTAAAAAATTCATCTGGGCAATAACTATTCAAAGTTATCCCATGAAATCACATTCTTTACTTTTTTTAATTTTTATTTTTATTTTGCAGAACCAGGGATTGAACTCAGGCCCCTGCGCTTGCCAGGGAAGCGCTTATACCACTGAGCCATCTTCCTGGCTCAAATCACATTCTTTAGAAAATCAGCACACTAACATTACAATTTTTTTTTTTTTTTTGTGGAACTGGGGATTGAACTCAGGCCCTTGCGCTTGCCAGGGAAGCACTTATTCTACTGAGCCATCTCCCTGGCCCCAACATTACATTTTTGAGACTTTTACAGCATTTGATTTTACATATGTAGGATATTACAACTTTTTTAAAGAGAGTGCAAATTAAAAACTGAAAAAATTACAAGTGATGCAGAATTTGACTTAAAAAGTACTATAAATTTTGTAGTATTTGTTGTTGTAATACATAATGTTGTCTTTCAAACAGTTATTCACATTACCAGATATATGAATGTAAAACTGGAAGAAAAAAGAAATGTATAAGAAATTAAGAAAAAGGAGAAACGATTGACAAAAAGGAGACAAAACGAATTATTATCTGCTCCTTTCCATAGACCAGCAGAAATGCACAGTAAAGTTGTACAAACCACTCTGCTTACATACCTAGATAAATCTCTTTCCCTTATTTTTTTTTATTTTTTTTT